TCCAGACCAAACAAAGGACATTACTGCCCTCTGAAGGTGCTGAAAAAAGCTGGGTGGGAGATAGATCAGTAGAGCCTGAAACAAGTACAGAACCCGGGGCAATACGTTCATCTTTATTGCAGCACATCTACCAAACCACGAGATGGTGAGTGAAGACCATTGTTTAAGATCTGTGAGGAGTTAAGGCAGGAACGGTCTTTCCTGAACCCGTGCTGATTGTCATTAACTATCCCGTTTTCCTGAACAAATTCTACCAAATTCTACTAGCAAAGAGTTCCGTGAGCAAAGGGACAAAGTTGGCCGAGAATATGTCTGGAACGTCTGTAGTGATTTTAGTCCCCAGATATTTGAGGTGATCGTTAACCCACGTGAACGGAAAATCTGCTCTAAGGCGTGAAAGTATCTGGGTCGGTAGAGTAATATTCAGAGCTGAGGATTTTGAGATATTCACTTTGAAATCAGAGAACGGTTCCTGAATAAGAGCGAAGATTAGGGGCGAGAGCGGGCAACCCTGACGAGTGCCATTAGATAGTAAGAAGTCTGTGGATCTAGTCTCATTCACCCGTACGGCTGCAGATGGTGACAAGTAGAGGGCAGAAATCCATTTAAGCATATTGATACCCAGACCGATATGTTGCAATACTGCATGCATAAAACCCAGCGGACCCTGTCAAACGCTTTCTCAGCGTCTGTGGAAAGCAGTACTAAGGGTGCCCTACGTGAGTTAGCTAGGTGAATGACATTGAGGACCCTGGATGTGTTGTTCTCGCTTCCCTAAACGAGATAAAGCCCACTTGGTCTTGATGGATGAGCTGGGGCATATGGGGGAGCAACCGATTAGCTATGATCTTAGGTTTTTTTTTAGGTCTACATTCAACAATGCAATCGGGCGATAATTTCCACAAATCATGGGATCACGGTCCCCCTTGGGGATAAGGGTGATCCACGCTCGTAACATGTCTTTAGGGATTGGGGAGTCTTGTAAGATAGAGTTATACGCCGCGAGGAAGTGAGTAGAGAGTTGGGAGACAAACAGCTTATAGTAAGCAGCCGTGAAACCGTCGGGGCCTGGGGCCTTTCCTGGTTTGGTAGTTTTGATCGCAAGTTGCAATTCCAATAAGAAAATAGGGGCCTCCATCAGGTCCCCATCCTCGGTGGATAGAACAGGCATATCAGAACCACCAACATAAGACCGGTCCTCGGGTGGATTCGGAATGGGCCTGCCCAGCTCCCGGGGGATGCAAGTTGTAAAGACTATCATAGAAGGCCCGAAATTCTTCCGCTATCTCTGCAGAGGATGTCAATGTCTGTCCAGTACGCGTTACAATTTGGGAAATAAAGGTCCTGCCTTGCGCACACCTCAAGGCCCTTGCTAGCATCTTCCCAAGTTTGTTAGAAAACTCGTAGAACATTCTTCTACCATTCCTCATGCGTCTTTTGACCTTAGTGAACAGCAGTTCCTTTATTTCCATTCAGACCGCGCGGAGCTCAGCCTGAGCGGCCAGAGCCAGTGACCGTTTATGTGCGGCTTCCAGGGAATGGAGATGGCTAAACAGGTGAGCTAGGTGTTTTGCCCCCTCGCGTTTCTTGCGGGCCTCATGTTTCACTAGAATGCCTCTAACAACACACTTGTGGGCCTCCCAGGTGACCATAGGTGAGGGGGAAGAGGGAACATTACTAGCAAAGAAGGAGGACAGTTCCGCCTCCAGTTCTGTCGTGACTTGGATATCTTGCAGCAACGATTCGTTTAGACGCCACATATAGCATGGAGAGACAGGTGCTGTCAAGGATAGAGACGTGTATGGGGGCATGGTCAGATAAAAGAATACTGTCAATTGTAGCCGAGCGCACGTGGGGTAGTACCTTATGCTCGACAAAAAAGTAATCTATCCTGGAATAGGTTTGGTGGACTTGCGAGAAAAAGGTGTAATCCCTGTCCCGTGGGTGCATAAACCTCCAGGTGTCCGTCAAGTGTAGGAGATGGAGCTCGGACTTCAATTTTTTCAAATATGAATAGGCCAGATGGGAAGTGCCCCTAGAGACATCCACCCGTGGGTCCATTGCAAAATTGAAGTCAACCTCCGAGTACCAGAATGCCGTCCGAGAATTCCAAGAGGACCTGGACCAGAGTGCGGATGAACCCCAATTGATCTGCGTTTGGGAAGTACTCGTTAGCTAGGGTCACTGACACACCACCTATTGCTCCCTTCAGGAGCAAGAACCTCCCATTAGGGTCCACGTACTGATCGGTATAAGCCCATGGGACGGCCTTAGCAATAAGAGTAGATACACCCTCGGTCTTTGAGACTAGAGAGGGGCAGTGATATACAGAGGGATAATCCCTATTGCCCAACCTGGGGATCTGATCTTTTTTGAAATGTGTTTCCTGAACGAACACAATTTGGGATCTAGCCTTCCTCAAGTCCGCCAGCAGTCTGGATCGCTTTTCGGGGATATTTAACCCCTTTGCATTCAGGGACGTGAAAACTATGTCTGCCATTATAGCAGGGGGAGGCACGGGGAGCAGCCCAGGTGGGAAGAGAGGGAGAGGGGCTGAAAGAGCCAGAAGAAGTGAAGCAAGAGCGAATTAGACCGTAGCAAGGTAAAAGTGGAGCGAAGAGAAAGAGCAGGAGCAGGCAAGAGAAGAATAGCAGGTATAGTAGCAATGCACCAGTTGGTGATTGCAACCCGACCGGACTACCGGTAAGGGTAAGGTCAACACATGTATCCTCCCGTTGCAAAATGCACGGGGTAGCCCTATGTGGGGGTAGGTCAGAAAACAGTGCGAGTACAAAGGATGACAATCCAAATAACAGTGCAAACAAAACAACTTCGATAAGAAAGGAGATGCATGACCCCCTTTCCGGTGTGGTGTGGCACGGTGGATGGCACCGAATTCAGCTTTTACGACCCATAGTAACCAAGCTTGCGGCT